AGTGATTTTAAGTAACAGAAATACTGAGCAGGGAAAGGCTCCTCTGCTGCTAATATTTCGCTGGCCGTACTGCATAAAGACTCACCGCAATGGCAAACTTTCATTTGCCAGAGACAAGCTGCCTGTCACAAAATGCAGTAAAAACAGAGACAATGAAGACAAAGCCAGTCTGAGGAAGTAGAAATTAAAATGTTTTGGCAGTGAAACAGGATTTATTATTGGACTGAGGGGGCAGGGGTTTTTTGCTGAAATCACAGTCATTTTTCATATCTAAGTATTGGTGCCGTGCGTGAAGTTGGGATGAGCAAAGGACAGAGACTTGGTGCACGGCATGGTGCTGTACAGGTCCCTGGTGGTTCTGAGCACTGCTTTTCTTTCTGCTGGGGCTGCCAGCTGAGCACCGGCTGGGACACGCCAGCCGCGGTCAGCGCGTGCTTCGGAGAGCTGGCTGCCTGCACGCCTCTGCGCGGCCGTGGGCCACACGGGTCCCGTGTCTCAGGACGCTCCCCTGGGGCAGGGGCCAAGCGCGAGTGGGGCTGAAAGTGTGTTCTTTGTGCATTCAGCTGGTCAGACGAGAATTGAGGTCCCCCCTCATCTTGTCATCACATACCAGGCAAGACCTCAAAGCAGAGGGGATGAGGCTGTCCTGGAGTCACGGTAGCGCGGCTCACACCCACACCTGGTGTGACTCCGGCATTGTACGGGCCAGGAAACGCTTGTCCGTCAACTCCTCATTCTGTAGCTTTGTGAGGAGTACTGCTGCAGCACCTCCGTGCCTCCCTTAAGCAATGTGGTAACTGCCACATGCTCGTTTCTTTCCATTGTCCCCAGGGAACCAAGCCTGCACAGCATCGTGTCACGTTTTGTAAGCCCCGTAGGGCTTTTTGGCCTTCTTACCCGTGTGCATGTCGCTCAGCTTTTATGTGGAGGACTGGAAAAAGAAGTTCATTGTTCCGGCGACTGCAGGTAAAGGAGTGCTGGGCAGCCATAGGTGTCACCTGGAGCAAGCTGTTCCCCTAGCCAACACCCTTTCTTCCGAAAGCTTTTCACCGTATTTCTCAGTAGGAATTAGTTTTTTGCTTCCAGCCAACAGATTGTTGTGACCCTGCTCCAGAGGAAGCTCTCTGCAGTGAGTGCTCAAGACCTGCATTTGCCTTCCCCCGCAGAGGGAACGGGGCTGAGTGCCTTTTGCTCGGAGCCACCTGGGGCACTGCCACTGCTGAGCCTTGTGTCCCCTTTGGTGCAATGCACCTTTTGGCAGGCAACACTTGCAAAATATGTGAGGCAATCTACAGCGACGGTGTAAATTTCCCGACTAGGATGCAGAGAGAGACATGCTGTGACTGTCACCACGGATGGTGAGTCGACAGATGGCTCCCACACATTTGCTCCTGAAAACGCTTCCCCGGTGCCTAGATCCTCCCTTGCTGATCCATGCTCTCAGGGACTTTAATTGCTGTTATGAATCAACTTTACTATGTTATATTTGTGTTATTTCCTGTACAAAGAAACAAGGAGACATCCTCAGGAGATGTACTGAGAGAAAGTAACCCTTACCAAAGGACCCACAGTCTGAAACCTGGAGCCTGTGACATCTTGTTCTTGTGCCTGCACAGAGCCTCAAAGTCTGGTCCTCTACAGCCAGTCACAAGCTCCAGGCCCAATTTTAGATGTGATGAAGCAGGCCAATGTAACGAGTGAGGAGCCTCCTGTACTCTGTCATACAGCCGTGACCCATGCCAGATGCACGCAGGTATCTAGCGAGAGGCACGAGTGTCACCCCTGAGGACACAGACAGAGCTCACGCCCATCACGTTACGCAGTGACCCTGTCTCTGTATTTTCAGGGTGCCATGCATTGTTAACTTTGTACATAATCTTTTCTGTGCTATTTGTCTTGGTCTGCAACATCTTGTTTCCACTGGTAAGCCTCTAACTGGGACATAAATAAGGGACACACTTTAATTTCTCACCAGACCTAGTCTTAAGTATCTTTTTGGACTTGTCAAATATGTGAAAGAGCTAGCAACTTGTCAAGTAAAACTGCAGAGTATTGCTAACTGTTAACACTCAGCAGTTAAATCATTCAGTCCCAAATGGTGTATTATTTGATGGTTTCCCCTAGAAGATGAAGAGGTGGAGAAGCCGTAGAGTCTGAACACACACAACAAAAAGATACAAATCAACAGCAATTAGGCTGGTTAAAAGAAAGAAAAAAAAATCCCAGTCAAATCCCATTTCATGTGTCCAGCCTGTTTACATTCTGTGCTAGAATAACGCTGATCTGACTCACTGCTGGCATTAATGAAGTTTGCACCTCTGGGCGAGCAATTTAATTTATCTCAGCAAGCCAAAGCTCATTATAACGGTCCGTAAATGCTATCAGATGAAAGCAGCATCCTTCAGCAATCTCAGGGATTAAAGCAAGGAGGCATTTAACTGACAAGGCTTCTGCTGGAAAGACTGCAGTCGGAGCACGTGTGTTACAGGCTGAGGTGGCACAATACCTCAGCTACTGCTGCGGATTTCTCTGCATCAGGAAAGTGGTCTGGAGCCTCGGTAATGCTCCTCTGGAGGTAAGCATCTCCCTTTTTTTCCCCTCTGTCTCACAAGACACCTCTCCTCAGGATTCATCAGGCCTAGCACCAGCTGGAGAGACACGTGGGGGTCTGTGGGGCTCAACAGGTTGGCTGCAGACTGATCGCTCTCCTGCAGGGAACAAGGGGCTCCTCAAAGGGGCAGGGGCTTGCAGCACTGAAAGCACACAGAGAGGGTCAGGGTGGGAGGAGGAAAATGGCTGATTCTCAGGCTCTGTCCTCTTGGGTGTGGAAACCTCCTTGCCACAGATGTCCCCTCCCGCACCGGATCCAGCTGCTTGAAATGCAGCTTCCCCCGCTGCGCTGGCCTTCCTCTGGCCTTGCTCCGGGTGCAGGATGGGGAGAGCCCAGCTGGATGCTCCCTGGCAGAGGTGCTCGGTGGAGATGGTTTCTCCAGCAGTAGGGGTGGTCTCCACCACCTCCGTGTTTGAAATCACTCATCAAAATGAAAGCTTTTCAGTTTTGCAGTTCTTTTTCCTGTGAAGAATGGTGGAGATGGGTAGGGCAGGGAATGGACAGAAATAAACCCTTGAAACTTCCGTATCTTTTCCATTTAATTTCAGACATGAATTGCATATCCCAAACACTAATTGGGGAAAAATGCTTTTCTTTATAAGGTCTTCCTTTAAGCAGGCCCAACAGAGTGAGGCAGCATCCTATGGGCTGCATGTACCCGGGACGGGTCGGGTCCCTCCCTCACCACAGGCCGGTGAGAAGGTCCCTGCTGTGGTCTGAGGGATGGGGCTTCCCACGGGGGCTGCACCAGACGGGCTGGGTGCAGGTGAGGGTGTTCAGCTCTGCTGCGTCCTGCTGTGTCTCAGTACCACACTCACTCTTCCTTGCAGAGCAGCTTCCGTGCCTGGGGTGATGCAGCTGGCACCACCGGTGTGCAGCAGTACTGGGACTCGTCAGGAACCGGGGCCCTTTCGCGGTCGCAGAATTTTCAGCGGTGCAGAGAAAACTGTCTCCCATTGCAACACACACACCACGCTACCCGGTCCTGCACGTTGTATGGTTACCTCATTCCTTGAAAGCCACAGTGGGCACACAGAGGGGAAGTTTGTGCATTTTCAGCAGGGTAAGACACGCTGACAAAATAAGCGGCTTCTAATGGGTGAACAGCATGTGGCTGTGCTAAGCCTGTAATTTTGGGACTATAACTGTCAGTGAATTATTAATGCTGTGGTGGAAGGTTGAAGTTAAGGAGAAGGATTCTTGTTTCACAGGGTTTCTCCAAGGACCACAGCAGAGACAGTGATGTGCCTCCCCTCCAGAGGAAGACATGGTGGGATGCTGTTCTGAGCACACCTGGAAACCGGCCTCACACCAGCTGTGCCGCTTGCTTGTGCTGCTTCCTCAGCCTCTGCTGCTTGGGTTTGTGCAGAGGAAGATGCTGGAACAGCCTCAGCCCAGCTAAGGCAGTGTTCTTTGTGGGAATGATCCTCTGTGCCTCAGTCTGCTGTCACCGTGAGGAGTGAACTGACGTTTGCTGAGCATCAGTTGCCACTTGACAGTCGCCTCCATTGTCTCTGTGATGGAAACAGCAGCGCAGGGAACTGCGGCTGTGAGTGGCAGGTACATCTGAGGGGTTGTGTCAGATCTCTTCCCCTCACTGTGCTACCTGTCAAATCTAAATGTAACTCACTGTGATACAGGCACGGCGTCATCCGGGAGGCACAGCATTCCTGGTACATGTGATGCAGCTGGGAGACCTCATCTGTGTCTACCTCTGCATGCATCCCAACACTCTGCAGACACAGGTGACGAAAAGGCAGAATAGAGGCAGGAGGAATCTCTCTCTTGAGTTCCTGACAAACCCAGACAGATTGATCCAGGTCAACACTTGCTGTAGATCTAGCCCTTCTAACGTCATTTCAGGCCCTGCCACCCCATGGGGTCAGCCCGCAGCCCCTCAGCCCCTTCCAGAGCCAAGCCCCTGCACCGGTCTGCAGCTGGGGCTGGCCTGGGAGCAGGGGGTCTTGGGGAGCATGGGCAGCACCAGCAGAGCAGAAGCAGGGAGGTGGCAGCACCAAGTCAGGGCTTGAGCAGGAGTGGGAAACCTCAGCTCTGAGCGCTTTGCCTGTGGCCAGGTGTGGAGATGCCGCACGGCCGGGCAGTCGGCCCCCGGCCCCGAGCGGGGTCTCAGCTTGGCAGCCTCACCGAGTGAGGGAGGGCTTTCGTGGGCTTGGCCCTTCCAGAGTCCATCCTGAGTGAACCCTGGGGCCAAGGACGAGCTCCCACAGCTTGCAGACTGCTGACTGGCAGACTGCTGCCAGGCTTTCTTATCTCCTCACTCATTCATCGTTCCAGTGTCCTTGAGAGCAGCAGAGAGGGACTGTTAGAGCCCTCTGTGAAAATCCAGGGAGGTGGAACAAGAGCCCAGCAGGGCGGCCTGGCACTGTCCTGCTGTGGGCACATCCTCATTGCCTGCTGCCGGGGCCGAGGGGGAGCAGCAGGAGGCTGCGAAAAAGCAGGCAAGGAGCTCATGGCGAGGCGCAGGCTACTGCAGAGCTGACCGTCTGGGAGAGAGTTGATGAGAACAGTTTCCTCGGTGGCCTGTGCCTACCTCTGGCTGTAAATCACAAGTCGGTCCCTTTCAGAAGGCCCAAGCGCCTCGGCTGCATGCTCCCGTGCAGCGAAAGCCCACATCTGGAGAGCTTGCTGAAAAACGAGGTGGAGGAGCGAGCACCAATTCCACTGGGAAAACTTGTTGTTTTCTCTGGCTAACCCTTCCCCTTGCTTAGCCCACGCCCGCGTCCATCCTCTGCAGAGGCAGCTGCCTCTCTGCCGTGCTGGGGGCTGCAGGTCTGCAGGCTCAGAGCGTGCCAGTGCGAACCTCCCCATCAGCTCCCCGCAAACGGCCGCACTTCACCTGCACCGACGCCTTGGCACAGCAGCGACTAGCCAGACCGTCCCTCCTAGATCTGCAGCTTAAATACAGTGGAAAAACTACCACAGCGGAGCACAAACTGAACTGGATAAAGTAAGATTTACAGGGCAAATGTTACTAAACTGAGCTGATAAGGAAAGGTTGACTCAGGAGCACAAAAGAGACAAAGGCAGCAAGAGCAGCCTGCCCATCCTTATCCAAATGCAAATAAAGAGCAGTAATGTGCAGCTTCTGTTCAGAAGTTCTTTAGACCACGTGATACCTTACAAAAAAGGCCAGTACTGATGCTATTTAATGTTTATATTGAGGTCACCTGCTGCCCCCCCCTCCTGGCCACCTTTCCGCCCACCACAAAAGCCCTGACAACTGTGAAAACAAATCACTGAAAGGACAAATGCCAGGAAAGCTCCTAAGAAGAGCAGTAGGCGACAGAGGATTGTGCTTTGACGACTGCTTCTTCCTAATTTTGGTCATGAGAGACGCCCAGACACCAGGAAGGCACAGCTGTATTTTTCAGAGCCTAACAACAGCAAACAAAGGCGTAAAGTAACTGTCCAAGCCGGACTGCAGTCCTGTCATGCAACCGGACGTCAGCCTCCTCCTTGTTGCCACTGCAGCCGTCCAAGCACCCATAAATACGCCACGCCACAGAGCCAGATGATGCGCAGCCTGCTCCAGGCCTCTGCCCTCCTGGCTGCTTTCCTGCCTTTGTGCTCCACTTCCTGAGCAGCCCCAGCCCGCCTGGCTTGCACGGCTCTGGGGCCAGCCCGGCTCGGGGCGCAGCCCCGCAGGACAAGGCCACATTCACGCAGAACTGCTGCTGGCCGCGGTCAGCAGACGGCATTCGCGTAACGAGCAGGGCTGCTGGCGCAAACCAAGCCCCTGGAAACCCTGGGGTTTGCTACTCCGTGGGCTGGCCGGAGCCTTACATCAAATGCTGTCAGCAGTGCCCGGCCCAGGGCAGGCGTCGTGCCAGCTTCTGTTTGGCTGGGGAGTCCTGGAGCACTGGAGTGACACAGAAACTTCCCCAGTACGTGTTTTGATTACCCTTCAAGTAGTCTTTGCTTTCTTTTTGGGGGTGGATGTTTTTCTCTCCCAGGGGCTCTGTGATCTGTATGCTCGAGCAGCCACCCTGCAACGGCTGCGGGTTATTAGGGAGGAAGACGTGTTCACCATACATCAGGCAAGCGCCGCATGGATCTGACTGCGCCCTTCACGCACAAAACCGCACCGAATCAGCAGTCCTGATGGCCAAGTGTGACACACGGGAGCTGGACACAGATCCGAGCAGCGAATTCATGGAGAGGGCAGCTGTCTGCTGGCAGATGCCTCACGCGCGGGAGGAGAGGCTGGATCCATCCATCTGTCCACGCACCCTGCCTCGGTTACTCATCCGTGGTTACAGGACCAGAGCTCCACTCCTCCCCCTCGCCTGGGAGCCAGCCCCTG